TATAGTCTAGTCTATAGTCTAGTCTATAGTCTAGTCTATAGTCTAGTCTATAGTCTAGTCTATAGTCTAGTCTATAGTCTAGTCTATAGTCTAGTCTATAGTCTAGTCTATAGTCTAGTCTATAGTCTAGTCTATAGTCTAGTCTATAGTCTAGTCTATAGTCTAGTCTATAGTCTAGTCTATAGTCTAGTCTATAGTCTAGTCTATAGTCTAGTCTATAGTCTAGTCTATAGTCTAGTCTATAGTCTAGTCTATAGTCTAGTCTATAGTCTAGTCTATAGTCTAGTCTATAGTCTAGTCTATAGTCTAGTCTATAGTCTAGTCTATAGTCTAGTCTATAGTCTAGTCTATACAGTCTATAGTCTAGTCTATAGTCTAGTCTATAGTCTAGTCATAGTCTAGTCTATAGTCTAGTCTATAGTCTAGTCTATAGTCTAGTCTATAGTCTAGTCTATAGTCTAGTCTATAGTCTAGTCTATAGTCTAGTCTATAGTCTAGTCTATAGTCTAGTCTATAGTCTAGTCTATAGTCTAGTCTATAGTCTAGTCTATAGTCTAGTCTATAGTCTAGTCTATAGTTCTAGTCTATAGTCTAGTCTATAGTCTAGTCTATAGTCTAGTCTATAGTCTATTTAATCTAGTCTATAGTCTAGTCTATAGTCTAGTCTATAGTCTAGTCTATAGTCTAGTCTATAGTCTAGTCTATAGTCTAATCTATAGTCTAGTCTATAGTCTAGAAGATTTCGAATTAGGCGAACTTTCCCGTGACTTGTGATGAGTTTCACAAAAGTGTATTAGAAGAAAAGAAGTTAGGGAAGATAGAGCCAAAGCGATACACAGAGAAGGAGAGGAGAATAGATATTTAGTTCTGAATTATTTTTAATGCATGTTCAAATTAATGATTTGTAATATCAAAATTATAAAAAGTTTATTTGGATATTTTTTTTAAGAAACCTGTCGATTTTTACGAAACTAGCCTCCAATCACGTAGTCATTATACTCTACACCACTGTAGTGGGGGTATTATACGTTTTTGCTAATATCTGTAACACTTTAAAATAATAGTCCCATAACCAACTTAAACTACATGAATGGATTCAGAATCACTTTCTGAGTTGATTTAGCTGCGTCCGTCTGTGTGTGCATGTATACCTCGTGTGCAAGACACATGTCGAAATTTTTTAAATAATTTGATGAAATATGGTACAAGCGTCTTTTTTATTTGGCCTAATAATCCCATCCGAAGCCCACAGTTTTTTTTTTTGAGTAAAATTATACAACACTAATACATTATATAAAAAACACCACATTCTAAACATGCTTATAACTGGTGTAAGGCATTAAATAATCGGTCATGCCCGACTTCTATGTTTGTTTTATTTATGAATATGTGTGTTTATTTGCATTCAGATATCATTGGCAATGTGTGCTCCCACTAAAATCAATAACAGACTATTGCACAGGAAATATTATTAACTAAAATAAATTATTAGAATTCTATTAGCGATATGTGTGTATAAACAATAATATTTTTGCTTGTCATTTAGTTTTAATCTTAATACATAGTATAATAAGAATAAAATTACCCAAAAATTTTGACAATTCACATCGCAACAATTGTTGTGAAATTTCTAGTTTTCAAAAACATGTTACTATATCGATCATAATATTTGTATTTGGTTGTGAATGAGTTTGTTTTCAATGCTTAGTAATTGTTATTATCGGTTTTTAAGCATTGATAAATGAAAGAGTTAATTGTACATAAAAATTCACGTGCGATTTTTGGCTTATAGAGTAAAGAAATTCGGAAAAATTATTTAAGTATCTGCAATATACATTCAACAATATTGTTTACGATTAAAAGCTGATAAAATATATTAATGTTTGGAATTTTTTTTATGATATTATTGTAAGTAGTTTTGTATGTTCATACATTTGCATTTGATGTTTCTAGTTAAAACTGGCTAATCATTTTAACACGTTGACGCTCACTTAATTTTTGGAGAATTTCGAATAGTTTATTATCTGTTTATCTTTATCACAAATAATTCTCTCGGAATATGATATTGAATATTTAGTTCATATATTATGGACATTTTATACAATTTAAAAAAATATATTTACGTTTAAGGGTTAATTTTGATTGTATCTATGTCATCGTAAATATGGGTTCTTATTGTTTATGTTTCATCGATTGAAAACAAAATAAATTTTATTGAAACCATAGTGAAATATGATTTCCATATAATTTCCTAATATTACATAGCTTCAGTTTAACATTCACAGTTTATGGGTTAATATTATTAGATTTTACGAAAACTTGAAATGTGTGTTTCTTATTGTCTGTAATTTTATATTCTAAAAAGGTTTTACGGTTACCCGGTTTACGCTATCTAATGAAGATCGAAACTTTCTTTAATACGAATATATTTAATGTCATGACATGGTTTTATTAGAATATAACTTTTACGAAATTTGTGTTTTATATCATATATTGGAAAAAAGCATTATCCATTTCAGAGCCTTGGTGACACGAGTTAACGTAGTCCTAACGCCCTAAATTTTTCAGAATGCATTATTTCTAACATAAAATTTAAGTCTTGAGGACGAGAGAGACGGTCAATATTCACAACTTCTGTAGAATTAAGGAACTTAATACATATTAAGACTCAAGTATACAGTCCCGGGGGGTAAAATATCAAAATTAAGAAAATTTCTGGTAGATACGACTTTTTTATTGTCAGTTTCGAGATCAACAGACCAAATAATACTAGGACTAGAAAAAATCGTTGGTCTGTGTTATTAAAACTTCCATGTTTTCTTTAAATTTTACATCATACATAATTTTCCAGCCCTGATTTTAAATAGAAAACTTCTCGAAAGTAATATTGAAGATTAGGATGCAGAAGATATCTGGGGTATTCATAAAGTTAGCAAATACATGCACAGAGGGAAAAGGAAATATACAAGCCTGGTACCAAATTGACACCAAAGAGTTTATAATTTTTCAATAATATCCGTTGTCAAAGTATATACATATATACAGACAACGCAACGTTGTCAACAGTGCAAATGTTAACAAACGTGGTAAGCTCACTATTCACAAACAATCCGTTGTCAGTAGTGAGCTTACCACGTTTGTTAACATTTAGACAACGGATGTGTATAAAATTTACATATCGGCAACGAATTGTTGCAATGTTGTCAACATTACATTGTGTTGTCGTACGTATGTACATATATCTTTGACAACGGATGGTATTGAAAAATTATAAACAGTTTGGTGTCAATTTGGTTGGTTAACATGGGATTTTACTATGCCTAAACTGCCAGGTAGAGTCGTAAGGACTCTGAATGTGAAGGGGTAGCAGTGAGATATCTCAATAGGTCGTTCCTATTCTATTCCTCTTAAAAGCTAGGGCAGGTGGAAAATCGCTTCATCTTTATCCCTGTCATTGCGACTGCATTAAAAAACGTCGAAAGAGAGCTTAAATTGACTTTCATACAACTGCCGGAGTTCAAATATTATCCTTTTATTTCCTTCTAAATCTAATTTTTTAGATTTAGAAAAACGGTTGAAATTACAAAAGAAATATATAAAAAAACTTACCTTAATTTTTCGATGTTAGAATTTTCGGTGTTCTTCATCTTATTTTCAATATCTGTAAGAAAAATAAAAAAAGGTTCAAATTTGTTAAATAAAATTTATAGAAAGTAAGAGTTTATATTCTTCGCCTTTGCCGAATTTGTAAGTTTAATTTTATAAAATTTCAATTTACATATTTTATATAGCAAAACATAAAACAACAACAAGTAAGGCTAAACGAAACAAAATACACAAAAAAACCAACAAAAAACGCAAAGCAATAAAGAAAACATACAACCACACATACGCTTTTTCAATATGTAGTACAGCTATATGTTGTTGTTGGTTTTTTTTGTCAAAGCATTCACTCTTTTTTTTATGAAATTTTCAAAGGTTGTCTCGGACTATTGCCTATATCTTCGTTATTTATAGGCGAATTTTGCTGATTTTGAATAGCAAACTTCTAGAAAGCATGTTTGACAGAAATATTGAAGATTTGGATGCCGAAGATAAATAGGGTCTTAAGAAAATTAATTTCAAAAGACACACAGACGGACAGACAGACAGACAGACAGACAGACAGACAGACAGACAGACGGACGGACGGACGGACGGACGGACAAGGTGGAAATTACAAACGGAATGACAAACTTACATATATGTATATACCCTTCTCACGAAGATGAAGGTTATAAAAAAGAACTGTGACTTTTTATATAATAGCGCAATTCTAAAAATATTAATCAATTTGTACGTTTGTCAAAATTCTCATCGAAATATTTAGTAAATAACATATTGCATATTTTACCACTTCAAACGATATGTATTGCTTACAGATTATCGAACAATTATTATTATACATACATACATACATATGTTGGTATGTATAATAAAAACAAAACCATTATATTTATAATATAATCGGTTATCAGCTCTACGCAGTAATATCAATACTCATAGAACCTTTAAATGCAATTCGATTTTATTGAAATATTTTATGATCAAATTTATGAGTGAAATATAAATATTTGAGACATTTTTCGCTAACGATTCCCCAATTATACTCTACTCACCCACAAATTCTTGTTTATGTTGACCAAAAGAAAAAAAAATCACTTTTAAAAAGAATTAAATATTTGGTTGAGAGCTTAGTTGAAAAGCAAAAGTGAGACAATAAACACTAAATACATTAAGAATAAAATATTTGTTGTGTTAAAAAAAAAAAAAAAAAAATATATATAAGAATTGAATAATAACTTAAAAGTGCTTTTAGAAAAAATAATATAAAACACAATTAATTTGTTTTTTTTTTTTATAAAACTCTAATATGTTGTGGCAATTTAAATGAATTTTAATTAATTTGAAACCCTCTAAGTGATTAATAATGTTTAATTAATTCAAATTACCAATACATAAAAAATATATTTTTATATTTATTTATCTGTGGAATATTCCCATAAAAAAATTTATTATTCAATACAAATTCCTGTGCATTAGAGAGTCAACACACCCTCCCTTGGCTACTACATAATGAATCGTTCAAGAAAAAAAGTTATACGTCCCCAGAATCCATATTCAAAAGCGAATATATTTTCACGCATGAGTTTCTGGTAAGTTAAAGAGAACTAATATAAAATAGGAAAATTTAAAAAAATTGGAATTTGACATTATTATCAAAAATAAATAGACATTATGTTTTTATAGCCTACAGCAATTTAGGGAGGGTATATTGGTTTTGTGCTGATGTTTGTAACACACAAAAATATTCGTCCTATAACCACCTTAAAGTATATTAATCAGCTTAGAATCGTTTTCTGATTAAACCATGTCTGTCTGTCCGTCTAGCTGACTGGCTGTCCATGTAAAACTTGTACGCAAGATACAGGTCGCAATTTTCAAGATAATAGGATGAAATTTGGCACATAAACCTTTTTTGGTCCAAGTCTTTTGAAAAAGGTTAAAATCGCTGAATTATTTCACCTAGCCCCCATACAACAGAACCCTCCGAAAAGGGCTTTTGAGCTCATAATTATATTAAATATACCCGTATATCGATAAAAAGCGATACAACTAAGTTTTATACAAGCCTTGATGACTTTGCCAAATTTCATAAAAATCGAGCTCCCATACAAAGTCCCGTTCAGAAAATGACTTGAATGTCCAAAATTCATTTATAAACTCTCATATCGCGATGAAAAAAATGTTGTTTGTGAATAAGGGGGTAAATATAAATCTATTTACAAAATATCGGGATCGGTCCGTATTTGCCCCTAGCCCCAATATTAAGTCTCTTTTAGTATCGAAAACAAGGTTATATTGAAGATATTATTATGAAAAATAAATCACATTTAATATTCATAACTGGTTTAGGGTATTATATGGCCGGTCACGCCCGATTATACGTTCCTACTTGTTTTACTTTTTAAATTAAGTAATTTGCCATTATAATACACTTTTGTAAACATATCGCTCACTTACTACAAGACTGGCATAATCCAAAGAAAGTTGTTTCGAGTAGTGTCATTGAATGTTCATTTTATTATTTTTTATTCCCTACACCACTATAATGGTTTATAGTGTTTGTAACATCCAAAAATATTGGTGATCCTGATCCTGAACTGTACTATGTCCGCCGTTCGACTGTCTGTCCGACCGTCGTTGTGTGTCCATTAATATTTTATACACTGTTGAAAAGATAATTTTCTATAAAAGATAAGATTTGGTCGAAATGTTAAGAAAATATGTATAATTTTAATGGCACAATTAAAAAAAATTCTATTACACTTTTCAATCGATTTCCGGCACGAGTTTCCGTTATCTGATTTGGCTAATATTCTACACCAATAAGTTTTAGGCGCTAAAGAGCAAAATGAGACCCAATCGAGCAAAATTCATATTTTGGAACAGGTGAATGTCATAAAAATTTGTTGAAATAAGTTGCGAGGAGCATTCTCAGGAAATATACAAACATAGGGTTTCCTAAATTATGAGTATTTATATGAGTGGTCAGAGGTCAAATAAAGACAGATATTCTTAAAATATGGTAGAGAGATTCCTTTCCTTAAGAACACCTTTTTATATTCCACACCCCTTCAGTGAGGAGGCTATATTGGGTTTGTGCTGATATTTGTAATGAAAAATATTATTGGTCCTACTGAAAGTAAACCAATCAGCTTAAAAACATTTTCTGAATCGATCTAATCTAACTGCAAGTCCAAATTTTGGCGATAATTCAATGAAATTTGTTGTTGGATGTTTTATTGCAGTAAGGACGAAGTTGGGGCAAAAGAAATGTATATGCCAAAATTCAATTTTCAAATTATCTTGAAAATTGCGACCTGTACACAGAGGGAAAAATAAATATACACGCCTGGTACCAAATTGACACCAAATTACGACAAAGTACGACAACACTATGTAATGTTGACAACGTTGTGTTAACAAACGTGGTAAGCTCACTATTGAAAATGGATTGTGAGCTTACCACGTTTGTTAACTTTTAGACAACGGATGTGTATAAAATTTAGATTGCGACAACGAATTGTTGTAATTTTGGCAACGTTGCGTTGTCAACATTACATAGTGTTGTCGTACGTATGTATATACTTGACAACGGATGTTATTAAAAAATTTGGTGTCGATTTGGAACCAGGTGTGTATATATTTTTTCCCCTCTGTATAGTTTGATTACTATGTTTATATAGCTGTACAGACGGGAGGACAAAAAGACGGACGGACATCGCTAATCGATTCAGAAAATGATTCTGGGTATACTTAAAGGTATAGAACCAATATTTGCGTTATATACATTAGAACAAACTATTTGAAAAAAAACCGAAAACAAGTAAAAAAGTATGGTCGGGCGTGGCCAACCATATGATACCCTACACCAGTTATGAGTAAATCTAAAATGGGTTTTATTTTTAATAATAAAGCATTTATGTTGAGTTTTTCCTTAATTGCGATATATTTTTGATGAACAAATTTTGTTGACATTTTAAAGTTAATTACTACCGAACTTCATTAAAATACACGTGTTTATAAGGGAATTGACGACGTTCAAGCTTTCTTAGATGGGGACTTTACAAGGAGGCTAGGGTTAAAAAAGGGCCGCTCATTAGGAAATTTTGAAGTAAAATTTGTATTAAGCGTAGTTGTGCCTATTTACGTAGGGATATTAGGATAGTTGGCATAATTATGAGCTCCAAATACCAATTTAGGGGTCTGGTTATATGGGGGCTGGGTGAAATAATGGACCATATCAACCAAATCAATAGGGTTCATCCCTGGGTCAAAAGTAATGTGTGTACCAAATTTCATCCAATTATCTGTAGTTTGATTTCAACGTTTACATGGACAGATAGACAGACAGACAGACAAACAGACAGACGTACGGACATGGCTTAACCGATTGGTATACTTAAAGGTTCTATACGTTACAAACATCAGCACAAATCCTATACCCTACACCACTTTAGTGGGGAGGGTATATTGGGTATATTATCAAAAGTAAAAGAGTTTTAAAAAACCATTTGCAAAAAGAATTTTTTACAAAACATTTTATCATTAATCTGCAGAAATCTTTTCATTGAAATTGTTTAAATATATATAAAAATTTTATAAATAAACGAAAACAATCATACATACATACATATATAAAGAAAACATTTGTTATTTTCATATCATAACACGGTAGCAGTTTAATTTAAGTATTTGTTAGAATTTCTGGTTTAAATCAGTATTTATTGGAAATTAATCTGTATATTGAATTAATTTAATTGCTTCTATTAATAACTTTACTCCAGAACTTAACAGACTTGCATGTGTTTTTAGGTAATGACCTCGTAATCAAATTTCAAATAAAGTAATAGCAATTTTGATTATTTCTCATAACAAACTGTTCATGTGTCTGGTACTGGAATAAACAGTCAACAATCTTTTTTTTATAATGAAATTTTCACTGAAAAATTTTCTGTTATTTCTCGAAAGTGTTTAGTGTTTTGTTTGGGGGTATATTGAAACATATTGATCGTAGATTAATAAAATTATAATATTCCGGGATTTTTTAATTCTATGGGACTCTAACCATGTCTGCCTATCTGTTTATAGTACAATAAAGACCAAATGAGAGGAGCTAGAATGTTTAAGTTATAAAGTGAAAATTTGGTTCTATGTCCGGGAGGATCTGGGGGTCTTAATTTCTCTTCGATAATATCAAATTTCGATATACGAGCTATACAAGAGGATTTTACTTTAAACTGTCAAACATTTTAAATGGACCGAAAACTTTTTTGAGAGAAACGTACCTCTACCATAAGAATAAGACCACTATATAACCCTATTTTAATGAAAATAAGTTTATTGTCAAGAAAGTGCTTTACGTGGGTACCTGCCGTGTTGGCCTATCTCACGGTGGCCTTTTTCATCCACTGGGTGAGCAAAAATATACGACTCACCACCGCCCTTTTGGGTTTGTTACACGCAGGTTGCAATTTACGTATATGGATGCCGGTCCATTATACGCGCACTTTGCTCAAGTACTCGAGCTATCTAATCTCTTGCCATAGTAGTCCCGTTGAGGAAGAACAGGTGTCATGAGAACCCCGACAAAGGTAAAACCTTATATGTCGCTAAACCACACTACTGAGATGGCTCTGTTGATTCGGCAACAGCACCTAGGGGACGTAATTGGTAGTCCAAAACACAGATCATTTTAAAGAAAGGTCAGTGACGATTTCACACCTCCTCCTCCGTCCAGCCAAAACATCATTCAGCACATCATAAGCGATCAAATCACTCCATATGTCAAATCCATCAATTACACATCAAAAAGCACCAGAAAAACTCCACATCTCGTATATCCAATTTTTGCATTATCAGCACAAATCCAACATTTTATTAATCCACAGTCACGCTCTGTAGTTTGTATCGCTCCTAACATCTGGGGGCCATAACAGAAATGTATTATGAAAATTATATTTCACCGTGTATCAGTCTTTTAACCAAGCACCACCTTCCTGCGATTTAGGATTCAACCACGGCCACTACGTGGATCCCGAAGGAACCTCAACCAACTCAGCAGCCAGGACAAGTCCTGTGGGCAATTGGCCACACGTAGTACCAGATTATGTGGTTCTCTGGTTAGAGCTCTTTTCAATTCATGCAAGGACTATGCCAGGCAGTGAATTGTAAACAGCAGTTTATAGTCCCGGCCAACTAGGGGTACTGGTAGCACCCCTCTCCCCCCGGATTGCAATACAACAAGATGCGGTCTATCATCAAGGAAACATGCCCGGGGGCCCAGTTTATTGTCAATAAATCGTTTAAAAAGTCATCACAATTTTACAAATATTGTTTGTCTTAGTTTCAGTCCATAATTGACCTAATCCACCATAAAGAACATTCACTTTTAGAAATTTTATATAATTGAATTGAATCCTTGATTTATTTGCTTAAAAATGTTTCAAATAATTTTTTACTTTAAGGTGGACCACCGATCTCTTTCGTTTGGGCTGGAAAAAATCACTTGATGAAACTGATTTATACGAAATACCCCGTGATTTAGACTGTGAAGATGGCACTGAATATGTGGGGGCACTGTGGGAAGAGGAGAAGAGGACAAAGAAAAATCCCAATATAGTACGTGTGATATGTAAAGCTTATGGAAAACGTTTCCTGCCAGTAGGATTTTTCTGTGCTCTATTAGAGACAACAGCAAAGTAAGGAAAAAAATTTAGATTCTAAAAAAAATCCCTAAAATGTTTGTGTTTTCAACAGATGCTTGCAACCTTTATTTTTGGGTGGTTTGGTATCCTTCTTTGCCGCCGGCCAGTCCACTGTAAGTGAAAATATGGCCTTCATATATGCCGGCGGTATAGTCATGAGTGCATTCCTGTTGGTTTTGTGTGTGCAGCCGTATTTGTTTTATGCCTTTAAGACCAGTACGAGAATACGTGTGGCCCTTTCGGGTTTGATTTATCGCAAATGCTTGCAAATCTCTAAGAATTCCAGTGATGATGGTTTACGTGGTCGCGCCATTAATATATTGGCCAATGATTTGTCGGTGTTTGATTCAGCTGTATGTTTTATTCACGATTGGTGGAAGGGTCCCACGGAATCCTTGATTATTGGTTATCTTATGTATCGTGAAATTGGCTGGGCTGCGGTAGTTGGTATTTCCTTTTTGCTAGCCTTTATCCCCCTGCAGGCCTGGGGAGCCAAAAAAGCTGCCGGTTATAAACAAAAGACTGTGGAACGCACAGATTGGCGTGTTAAGTTAATGAATGAAATTATTCAGGGTATCCAAGTGATTAAGATGTATGCCTGGGAAAAATCATTTGCTCGGGTTATTAGTTTCGTAAGACGCAAGGAGGTGAATGCCATTAAGGGTTCTTCTTACATTTATGCCAGTTTAAATTGTACCTATATGATCTCACCGATATCCATATTTTTGGCCTTGATCTCTTACATCTATTTTGGAGATGTTTTGACGGCCAAGAAAATTTTTACCATATCCTCCTTCTTTACCATGCTTAATGTCTCTATGGTGAAATATTGGCCCATGTCTTTGTTATTTTTGGCTGAATCTTGGATTTCAATTAAAAGATGTAATGAATTTTTGTTGTACAATGAGGACGAACCAAAGCAGGAACAGACATTGTACCATAAAAATCTTCAAACACATAATGCCAAGGAAGAGAAATCTGCTCATGAGCTATTGCTGCTCAAGGACAAGGAGACCAGTAAACGTGTGTTAAATGAAGCGGCTAAAGTAAAAAGCGTAGAGCTGCGCAATGTTATGGCTACATGGGAGACACATGGTGCTGAGGGTAATATGTCTACTCCCGCTCTACAAAATTTCACTACCACTTTTGAGGAGGAAACTTTGGCTGCTATTGTGGGTCCCGTAGGAGCGGGTAAATCTACTTTACTTAATGCTATATTAGGAGAAGTGAATATAGAATCGGGTGAAATCCTCGTCAATGGCAAGATCTCTTATTGCTCTCAAGAACCCTGGGTATTTGAGGGCACTATTAAGGATAATATTATATTTGTGGAAGACTATGATGACAGACGTTATAAACAGGTGCTGAAAGTTTGTGCTTTGGAACGTGATGTTGAGTTATGGCCCAAACGTGATCAGACCGTGGTGGGTGAACGCGGTGTAAGTTTGAGTGGTGGACAAAGGGCAAGAGTAAACTTAGCCAGGGCTATATACCGCAAGGCAGATATCTATCTACTCGATGATCCTCTATCGGCTGTAGACACCCATGTGGGAAAACATATAGTAGACTATTGTATCAATCAATTTCTGTACGATAAAATACGTATATTGGTTACACATCAGCTGCAATATCTAAACGATGTAGAACATGTTATTCTCATGGATGGCGGTAGTATTGCAGCTCAGGGTAATTATCAGGAATTGCAAAATTCCAAAAAATTCAAATTTTTGGCTCAGTCACAAAATGAAAATGCTGATGGTGATAATGGTGATGATATGGAATATATTGATGAAGTATCAGAAGATGAAATAAGTCTCAGGACCCATAGATCACGTTTAGCTTCGGAAAATAGTACTGACTTTGATTTACACGATATGGTGGTGGATGAAAAGGAAGAAATCGAAGAACTTAGTAAAGAGGCTCAGGCAGGTGGTTCGGTTAAGTTTGATACCTATTTGACTTACTTTAAGGCTTTGAATAATACTTGCTTTTTCATCACGGTTACGGCTCTATTCGTTTGCACCCGTTTTATGCTGAACAGTATGGATTATTTCCTATCCAGATGGTGAGTAAAAGACTGATAATGTGTGTCGATTAAACACTAATTCTTGCTCTATTTACAGGGTCATTTGGGAAGAACAAATTGCTTTGGAACCCTTTAAAAATACTACAGATTTTGAGATCAATAATGCCACAATCTCTACTGCAAATAATGCTACATATCTACAGCTTAATAATGCCACAGATTTTGTTTTTAATAACTCTTCGGAAAGAACTGCTTACGATAGTCATACTGACGAGAGATATCAACTGGTTCTCATGTATTTGATAATATTGATGGCCACCATTGTTGTTTATATTCTACGTACTTTTGGCTTTTATCGCATGTGTCTTCAGATCTCATTGCATTTACATGATCTACTATTTCGTGCCATTACTCGCACCTCTATGTTGTTTTTCAATACAAACCCTTCGGGCCGTATATTGAATCGTTTCTCGAAAGATATTCGTACACTGGATGTAGATGTACCACGTACTTTAATTGATTGCGCATCGGTAAGTTGGAAAATCTAAGTTTCTTAAGTTGGGAGCTTAAAAAACATAAACTATGGGTCATAACGATCCATAAAGGATGATCTGGTTAGTAGAGCCGTCTTGAGTTTGCAAAACGCTATCGAAATCAGGAGATATTGTATAGAGTCATATAGAGTAAAAAGAAAATCAAAGATCATATGACTCAGAGTTGCAACTTTTCAAGATCACTACTGTAAACATTCAATCCAAAACTTTGTAAAAAAAAACTGGATTTTTTGTCTTTAACTTTTATTATTTTTCTTTTTTCAGTTTATAATTGATATATCCGGTGTCATGATCATAGTGGCCATTGTCAACTATTGGCTGTTAATACCCTCACTACTGATCATTTTGGGTCTGATTACTTTAAGACAAATTTTCGTTAACACCAGTCGTGATATTAAACGTTTAGAATCTATTTGTAAGTTTTCATTTCAAACTTTCCCCAGCAATATGAAACTATATAAAACATTTCCCCGCCTATTTACAGCCCGCAGTCCCATATATTCCCTAACAAATCAAACATTCCAAGGTCTTACCACCATCAGAGCTTTGCAGGGTGAGAGAGCTCTAGAAGCTAAATTCTACGAACATCAAAATGCCAATACATCTGCTTGGTTTTTATTCTTTTCCTCCAATCGTGCCTTTGCTGCCTGGATTGATATACTCTGCGTTTGTTATATAAGCATAGTAACCTTTAGTTTCTTGGCTCTACGTTCCAGTTTCAATAGTGGTGATGTGGGTTTAGCCATTCTACAATCATGTGCCTTGGTGGGCATGTGCCAATGGGGTATGCGTCAATCGGCTGAATTGGAAAATAATATGACAAGTGTGGAACGTGTTTTGGAATACACAAATCTCGAACCAGAACCACCCATGGAAACTGCAGAGGAATCAAAACCTCAAGGACCCTGGCCTAGTAAAGGACGCGTAGAGTTTGTCAACTTTAGTTTAAGATACAATCCCAATGATGATTGTATATTGAAAAATTTAAACTTTACCATAGAACCTAAACAGAAGGTGGGTATAGTAGGACGCACTGGAGCTGGTAAATCTTCTATAATACAATCGCTCTTCCGTTTGGCTTATAATGAGGGTATTATACGTATCGATGGTGTAGATATTGAAAGTATAGGCCTATACGATTTAAGAAGCAAAATTTCTATAATACCTCAAGATCCAGTATTATTCTCGGGTACTTTACGTTATAACTTAGATCCCTTGCAAGAATATAACGATGAGCAGATGTGGCAAGCTTTGGAAGATGTAGAGTTGAAAGAACATGTTAAAAAATCGATGGGTGGTTTAGGTTGTGCCATGTCCGATGGTGGCTCTAACTTTAGTGTGGGTCAAAGACAATTGGTTTGTTTGGCACGTGCCATTTTAAGGCAAAATAAAGTACTAATTTTGGATGAGGCTACCGCTAATGTGGATCCCATGTAAGTCATAGGATATTCTTTTATATAAAAAAACAACTAATTAAGTCACAATGTTTCTCTTTACAGTACCGATGCCTTAATCCAAACTACCATACGCGATAAATTTGCCGATTGTACGGTCTTAACAATAGCCCATCGTTTACACACCGTTATGGATAGTGATCGTGTTCTTGTTATGGATGCTGGTCGTGCTGTTGAATTCGATCATCCTTATTTGTTGTTGCAAAAACCTAATGGTTTCCTACGCAGTTTAGTAGATGATACTAGTTCAGATGCTGCCGCTGCTTTATTCCAAACGGCTCAGGAAAGTTACAAGTCAAAAGTACAAAGTGTATAAAATGACTTTTAGGTTAAAGAGGAGAAAAAATCGATGGACTTAAACTAATTTAGGAAATAATTATATTAATTATTAAATTTAATTAAACTTGGACTTAGGTATATTTATTGTTGTATGTTAAAAAATTAAGAATTTTAACATTTTTATATGTTTGAAAATATATTTTATATTAAAAAAAATTTTAATTTGTATTTGATATATGATGAGTGTTTTTAATTTGTAACCCTGGCCGATCATATACCAGTTCCTACATCTTGAATATGATTTATTTGTTTATAAAACATTTATGTTGAATTTTGGTTCAATTTTCATACATTTTAGGAATCTATTAAAGAAAAACAGATTTGATGAAAGGTCTATAGTTCATCCTTATATGGGAGGTGTGACCCTTAATGGACCGATACCAGGGTGTTTCATATCTACTTTAAATACATTCATAATGAATTGTACATCGATATCTTCATTCACTTATGAAATATGTGCGTTAACGTGGTTATCAGAAATGGGCCTTATATGGGAACTATGGCCAATTATGGACCGTTCCGAAAAATATTTAGTATAGTAATATATGTATACACAAAACATATTTATGTCAAATATTATTCCAATATCTTTATTTCTTAATCAGTTATTTGCATTTAAGTGTTTTTAGAAAGTGGATTTTATATGGAAGCTATGACCAATTATGGACCTATATATTTCTATGTTAATAATACGATTTCTGTTCATATTATATACAATGTGCAAAATTTTGTGGTGATACCGATATTTTTGACGAAGTTATTAACGATAAATCTATTACCGAGAATATTTGTATAGGGGCTATGGAGGATTTTAAAGAAATTGTTTTGAGTTTGAATATAACTGATCTCTATGCAAAAAATAACGTGTAACTAAATTCGTAAATTCGAATTAGGAAAAAACTTATTTTTTTCCGATGTAGTCTGAAATTTTTGGCAGATTTGGCAGATTTTCAAAATAAAACTGCTTAGGACAATAATGAATATTTTCAGAGAATTTGGCTGATTTATTTTGCTTAGTTTTAAGGTAAACGTGTTTGAGGCAGACAGACGGACGGACAGACAAAACAGACAGACGGACATAGCTAAATCGACTAAGAATTTCATAAGGAATCTAGAATATACATATGTACTTTGTTGGGTCTCAGATTAGTATTTCTTGGTGTTATACATGGAATGACAATCTTATACATACCCTCTATCACCACTGATGATGGGGGGTTCGTTTCATTACAACCCAGCAAAATCTTTGCTTACAATGATTACCATTAAGTACTTCATTAATGACTTACTTTGTAGGCAAGTCTAAAATAAATCAAAATAAAGAAACAAACAAAAATACAACAGTTAGTTTTTCTGTTTTTTTTTTTCTTTTTTTGTGCACACGATATCAAATGTCTATTTTTAGACAAACAGAAAATAAAATAGTATTTGTGTGTGAAAACTATTATTTGACGCACAATAAAACAGCAAAGCAGTGGTGTAGTAAGAGTAGCATTCAACTGGTAGACGGAAGGTACTGAGTTCAACCCCAGTCTGTGTCGACTTTTTATTTTTATTTTTTCATAAATATTCTATAAATAACTCTACTAAAAAACAACTTATTTCCAACCAAATAATATTGACTTACTTTTGGAACATCTCAAACAAAAATAAGTACTTTTTCTAGTAGAATTGTAAGCACTTTACTCGATGAGTTCTGGTGATTTTTCTAGTGAATTTGTAAGCAAATATTTTGCTGGGAAGGTTTATATGGTTAAACGGACTTACAGAAAACGATTCTGACCCGATTTAAAGTGATTATAGGACAAGTTTTGTACGTTACAAACATCAGCACAAAATTTAAGATTTCCAAAGAAAAATCTATTTTTATTAGAAATTGCAAAGTTGTAGTATACAATTATAGAACATTTTAATTTAGTTTAATGAATAATTTAGGTTAAATCTTTAAACACCATCCAAATATTCATATCATCGTCTTACATTACCCCCACATATGTATGTATATACATATCTCTCAAAATAACCCAATATCTCTCCCCCTGTTAAATCATATTTACTAAATACTCTTGCAAAGTGTTAAAAAATAAATACTATTGAGTTTCTTTCAGATGTTTATGTTAAATTTTTTGAGTGGAATGTAAACATTTGGTTACGAAAACAATTCTTTGTTTTCAAAACAAAATTGTGTTTATCTCAATTAAATGAGAAAAATATTTTGTTGTTTTGAGAGTGGAAATAAATTCAAATTGCAAACAATATTTGATTCACTTGACATACCCTATACTACCCTAATGGGGAGATTAACTATAATGAAAAAAACCTTAAATAAAACACTTTCTGAGTCTATTTAACGATATTACCAAATTTTGATATTATCGGTATAGAACTCTAAAAAAATCTGTTCGACATGACTACATGTAGAATATTATGCAGTCATGCTGAACCAAAAACATTTCAGTTTATTTTCTTTTTAAATTTTTTTTTTGAGACAATTAATTGTCTGGAAACAATTAATTAATGCAATTGTTGTTCATATGTAATAAGTTTATTGATTCAATTGATCATGATATTTTTATAAAGATTTCTGTATATGTACAAATTATTAATTTTTATTTACAATTTTGTTTTAATAATTAATATTAATTTGAATGATTTGTCAATTAAATGGTGACAGAAAGTGAGTGATCAACTAATGATGTTTACAAATTTAGATGTAGATCTAAATATTAATGGGAATTTGAATTTATCGATAATATTAAAATATTAACAACAAACGTACATATCTTTTGAAAGCGGTACATATCTGTCAATGAGTGCAAACAACAAAATTTTATTTTAGCTCGAAAATGTTTAATAAGTTAAGGCTTTAAATGGTAGCTAGGGTCAAATATGGATCCAACCTCATAAAATTTATTTCAAGGATTTTATCGAGGTACTGGTTTTTATAAGTATACTAGCCCATGTTTTTCATAAATTCTCATATTGACAAAATTTTAGAACTATGACTGTTTTATTCTCAGATATGCTAATTTAAGATTTTCTTTATTTGTGAGGTGCCACGCCCACTACAGCTAGGCAACCCATAATAACCCCATAAATTTATGAGAATGTCAAAGATGTCCATACAAAATGTAAATACTCTAGCTGTTGCACTTTCTGAGATATGCGTCTTTTAATATTCACTTTGTACGTGGGTGTGGCAACTCGTCCACTTGAAATTTCGAAATAAAAAGTAGCCTATAGTTCCTTCCAGACATATAGGAAGACACTGAAAATTTCAGGAAAATCGGTCCAGCCGTTTGGCAGTCTTTAAAGTCCAAACAAACATACAAACACACTTTAATTTTTATATATGAGGCATGAGGGCTAGGATCAAATGAGGCCCGACTATTACAAAAATCATCGGTGATATAACACCGCTTTTTTGTAGATGTTGTATATTTAACATAATTATGAGCTCCAAAGACATATTCGAGGGGTTCGATTGTATGGGGCTACTGGGTATAAAATAGGGTTCTATAGTTGAAACGAAAAGTCGACTTTTTGACTTTTTGCATTTAGCTAAAAGTCGACTTTTCGATTTTTGCATTTAGTTAAAAGTCGACTTTACGACTTTTTGCATTTTATGAAAAGTCGATTTTTCGACTTTTTTTCATTTAATTAAGAGTCCACTTTTAGAATTTTCGACTTTTAGTATTTTATAAATAGTCGACTTTTTCCGACTTATCGACTTTTTTCGGCTATTTTAGAGTTTTTGACTTTTTTCCACTTGTTTTTAAATTTTCGACTATTTTTGACTTTTTTCTACTATTTTCGAGATTTCGACTTTTCGACTTTTTCCAACTATTTTAAAGTTTTTGACTATTTTTCCACTTTTTTTAAATTTTCGACTTTTTTCTACTATTTTCGAGATTTCGATTTTTTTCCTCTTTTTCCGACTTTTTTCGACTTTACGACTTTTTTCGAATTTCTTCGACTTATCGACTTTTTTCGACTTTTATTTACAAAGTCGACTTTTCGACTTTTTTCATAGACGATAGTCGAGTTATCGACTTTTTTGGAACAAAATAGTCGACTTCGTCTTTTTTCGACAAAAAGTCAATTTATAGAACCCTAGTAAAAAATCAATACTTGCATTTTATATATCAGCACAAAGCTTATAGTGAATATGTTTGATCAGTGTCAAGGTCCAAAATTTGTTTGTACAATTCAGAAGTGGTAATATCTGCAAACGAAGGTAAAGATCGCCTTGGATAAACAAAAATGAAGATTGTTGTCAAATTCAATAAGAGCTTGCATTTTAAAAATCGTTATGAGTAGCAGGATTCAACCGAAAACAGGGAAATTGAGTGTCATACGAATTGAAGCCGAAAAACCTTAAAAAACGATTTTCCATATCCGAAATCATGTTTCATTTATTAATGCAAAATTTAGCCATTATGATAACCCCAAGCGTAAGAAATCGTATGTAAGACACGGCTATCCATCATGTTGCAATACATATTAAAAAAAGTATTTAGAAAGGAGTGGTTGGTAGTTTTGCCGCAACGGTTTTACAGATATTTCGATCGTTGCAAATCGCTCTCTTTGGAACACGTTTCACGGCGTGTTTATACCCTACACCACTTTAGTGGCGAGGCTATATTATCTTTGTGCTGATGTTTGTAACGCACAATAATATTGGTCCTATACCCATCTTAAAGTATACCAATCGACTTAGAATCATTTTCTGAGTCGATTTAGCTATGACCATCCGTCTGTCCGTCCATGTAAACTTTGTAATAAAACTACAGGTCGCAATTTTGAAGATACTTCAATTTGGTACATGATCTTCTATTATCCCAGAGACGAAGCCTATTGGTAATGGTTAAGATCGGTCCATTATTTCACCTAGCCCCCACACAACTGAACAGAATAGGGCTTGTAAGCCTTGTAATCAAACTACAGGAAAAATTTGGCACATGATCTTCTATGGTACCGGAGACGAAGCCTATTGAAAATGGGTCCATTATTTCACCTAGCCCCCATACAACTGAACCCGCCGAATAGGCCTTTTAAGTTCATAATTATGTCTAATATACTCGTATCTCGACA